TCTATGAAGTTAAATAAATTTGAAAATAAAAACTTGCAAAAGATGTACAACGTTACTGAACGGATGATTGTCTATGAAGTTAAATAAATTTGAAAATAAAAACTTGCAAAAGATGTACAACGTTACTGAACGCCGTCTGTCTACTATATCTATCTATCATCGATCATTCATCTATTCCATCTGTTCCTATCATTACAAAATATCCGATCAATTGATTTAGTTGTGATAGCAAAATGAAATGTGATATGTTATAGAAAGTGTGTTGTTTGTTGTTGTTGTTGAATTGTGAGTGAAAATGAGACGAATGAATTGAGATAACAATGATATGACAATGTTACATCACTGATTATATCATGTGATATCTTATCTTTTCATTGATTCTTGCATTCATCCAAGAGTTATGATTTATTTGCAATCTCTTTGTGATTGGTCGAGTAAACTATGCCCAATCTACCGCTCTTCTCCCTTTAACTTCTTGGAATTACATGATTTTCTAACTATCTAACGCTTCAAAATTTGTCAAAATCTATAATATTTCTGTTAGAAATAAAAAAAGAAAATTCAAAACTCTATGAAATATTTAAAAAAAAAATGAATTTGTCTTAAAAGAAAAATAAACAAATTGAAATTTAGGCTTATGATTCAAAATCAGAGAAAAAGGATAGAAGAATTTGTTTTGATATGAAAAGAAAGAAAAGTATTTATAACATTTTTCGAACAAAGTATACAATTATCACTCCCACATATTCATTCAATTATATCTATCATTGAAAATTCAATACTTATGCATTTATAAGCAAGTAAATGAAAAATAAGAAAATCCTTAGTAAATTATAGTAATAAAGAACTGACAGCTTTAATATTTAAGAACGTTTCATGCCAAAATTGTATCGATAAACCTTTAAAAGTCAAAAGCTATTTCATACCTTTTGCTTCAACAGGTAAGCAAATAATGGGTAACCGCAACAAAACAAAATTATTTTCAATTTTATTTGCATTTTCATAAACAACGGAATCAAATTTGAACCAACAATTTTCTTTTTCTTTTCGTTTTTTTTTCTCTCTACTTTATGAGAGATAAAGAAAGAAAGAAAGACATTTACTTAATTAAAAAAAAATAAAAAACTTAATAATTGCTTATGTCTCATTGAAGAGGAATTCCTCAAAAATTAGTTCAAATGTCAACTTCTAAAAAATAAAAAGGAACATCAATTGCTTAGAAATGTTCGACATTATTTTTTTCCAATAATATATCAATAAGAATTGGCAATATTCCATTCAAAGTTAAACGATTTGGAATGTATTTTTGTTACTTAATTAAAATAATTCACAGTGAATATAATGACAATGCTTTTTTAAGTGTAAAACAAACAAATGTTTGGGAAAGGAGTGCATGGATGCTATACCAGCCTTCAACGGATGTTCGATTTCATACGAAGTACTTGCAACTAATGGAAAATGCACAATTTATCGATAGTTCAGAATTTATTCTTATTACAGAACAAAAGTAAGAAAAATGACGATATTTCGGTCATTTTGTCTAAGCTACTTATTTCGTCTATTACTTTTGACGATTGTTTCTTGAGTGCATCGTATTTATTCTACGCTTGATGTCACTAAATTATTAGGATGTAAGAAAATTCGTCCATTGCTTATATGAAGTAATCTTAATGCCAGAACGATGATATCGTCTAGATTTTATATGTATTATAAAGAATTTTTTAATTCTCATTAATATATTTATGCTAATGTTTGCAATATTGTACAAAGTTTCATACAAAGCAACTCGACTTGTAAAAACCAAACAAATTAACATCTGGATATCTCTTATGAATACTAAACATCATCTCTGACTGAGTGCGGTAACATTCTTGTTCCTTACATGACTTAAGATTTAATGCAGGTTTTCTTTTCAGCGGAAAAACACAGGCATTCTGACGTCTAATTCATGTCGTAGAAAGTTCTTATGAGAGTCTCGAGTAAATATCTTATCAAACCTAATTTAATTGTGAAATACAAGGTAAATTATTATGCGACAAGAGTTCAAATGAAAAATATTGCTTGTTATATCATATCAACATCACTGTTCAGCAATAGAAGAAGAGGTGAAATTGTACGACAAGATGAAATTTATAAATTTGTCTTTAAAAAAAGATGTCTAAAAGATTCATGGAAATATATTAAAGCGGAATTAGATGCCACAAACTGGATGTAATATTGCCAATCCTCGTTTGATCCCAGATTTTAATAAGTGAAAAACAACTATATATGAAGAACAGTGCTAATCATATAAAAGATTTTGCATAAAATGCTAAAGTTTGGAGCTGAAGAAATTAGATTTCTCGATGCTGAAATATATTAGTTCCTTCTTTTTCAGCGATATTCTTTTTCTGGATTGTGCTCTCTCTATTGCGAAAACTTTCTGTAGTAAAGACTTCAGAGGAAAAGCTCGGACACCTGATCGACCATACAGTTTATTCGAAGGGATAAGTGGAGCTTTATGTTTTATATGTGACTTACTGGAACCAGATAAGGCGCAATTTCCTCTTGTACCTATTTCTTTTTCCTAATTATCTACAGTATTATTGTTTTTTCTTTTTTGCTAATTATGAATGTCAAAGAAATGTTCAAGAATGAGAAAGTATTATCAATGTTGTATGAGTTGTTTCCGTTAGAAATAAATTTTGTTTTGTAACTTTTTCGTCACTAGTAATACTGCAGTAATTTTCCGCTTTCTAATATAGTAATAAATTGGAAGATATAATAAACGAAGTGTTTTGAATAAGGTCAGTCAAGAATTTGTTAATGATATATTAAGGGTAAAATGTAATCCTCACGTATATTTACAGTTTCGAAAACCATGTTTCGTGTGATGCATAGACGATATTTTGACAATTCGTATCTGACTAATAGTGAAGCTGAATCGGATAAGGTATTCACTGTGCATCTGATGATTTAAATCCCTCTGAATATTTAAGTTTGTAGTGCGTTGTCTTTTCTTACCTATTTTCCATTATGCAATTTGGAAACTGCAGTTTTTTTTTATAGGTGCAAATCGCACATATGCTGATTTTTGGTTTTGTCTCACCTAAATGAAATTGAAATTTCATGTTAAATTCTGCACTTACACTTTGTTTCGTAACTTAAAAAAAATTGATGTTGAAGGTGACTAAACAAACCCTGAAACAAGAAGTTGCAATTCTTGTAGAAGAGATTATGGAGTGGAGATATAGTATGGACGATTATGACGGGAGTGTTTACGTCGGAATTGCAGGTAACGGGTACAGTGTGCTGTATGCCTCACGACTTTTACCAGAAAAGACAGAACAGCATGTAAATTTTTGTAATAAAATGGTAGAGGAGCAATTAAAGCAAATCCAGGCTTTTTTTTTTTTATCTTTTATAATTTTTATTTTTTTTAATTTCTTACTGGAATTGTTTTTGAATTTTTGGATCTTTAAATCTTTAATTATAATTTTGGATTTATTATATATAAACAAGAAAAATTACAATTTTCATTCCTTTTTTCTTTAATTCAACAATTTCTTATATTTTTTATGAATTTGATTATTTGGCAATTAAATTGCATTTTGAGCTTTTTTATGAAATTTTAAAATCTATAAAATTAAAATTTGTTATAAATGTTCAAATACAGCTATCATATCAATCATTAATTAACCTTGCATCATTTGTGATGGTGTAAATAATGTTGATGGACCGCGATTTTCCATTGGATTTTGTTTTATTCGAGGCGGTGATTTCACTGGCGGATGTGTCGTACTCCAATATGATTCCATATAATCAGCTAAATGCTCACATGCATCTTCCAGTTGATTCTCATCCAATAAAACATCAAACATTTTCTAAAATTAATTTAAGAAGGAAAAAAAAAATAATTTCTAAATGATAAGATTGAGTAAATAATTCAGTGTTTGTTAATTTTATTATTTATAAGATTAAAACAATATGAATTTTCACTTAATTTTTTTCTAATATGATTTTTTGCAAAAATTAAAATTTTATTAAAATCACTTCATGAAAAGAAAAACTTCTAAAATTATTTAACTTACTATTGGACATTGTGCTAATTTCTCAGCTGCAACCATTTGTACATTCATATTTCTCGTTTGTGATTTATTTCTTGATTTAATAAGCCTAAAATTAGGAACAGTAAGAATATTCTAAAATGTAAATATCAATCATATATATATATATATATATATATATATATATATATATTACTTATCTCTCTGCAATATATTCCAGGTAAGGTAATCTCCACTTAAATTTTAGTTTCATTTTTCAGTTTAACTATTTTCTTTTTTCGAAAAAAAAAGAAGGAAACAGAAAATGAAAATTTGAAAGAAAGCCAACTTTAGGTAAGCTAATTTTGATATAAACATGAATTGGTGCAAGCGATGTTTTAGCCAACTGTGAGGGATGATTGATTGTGTCACAATCTAACACGACAAGTTGCATGGATCGAGCTAATTCAAATATCTAAAGGTGTTAAACAGAAAGTAAAATAAGGAAATCCTATTCTTCCATTAAAAAATATTCAACGTTTTCAGAGTTTAGAATGGTAAATCTGTTAAGACAAAAGTCGATATATTGAAGCGAAACTACTAACATTATCAGCACACCAATTTCATGTTCTCAACCCTTATATTATATTTACGAAAAACCGAAATTTTTGTAGCGAAAAATACCTATTTAGCACATTTTGCCTTTTCCACATTTTCCATTATCATTCATAGCAGAGCAATTTAATGACCACAAATGCAACAAAAACAATGGTGAATCATAAATTGTTTCTGTCTCGAAATATTGTTTGAAATGGTGCCTAGCTAAATCTAGTTACAAAATTAATGTAATTATTATGCAATAAAACAAAGTGATGAGAAAAATATTAAAAATCGAATGACCAGTGTTAACAATTAAAATACTACCAAATAGTGACCTCAATTAAATGTTCATCAGATTTAATATTTCTTCAATGATTACAAGTCATTTGCGGGTAAGAACTTTCGCGCAAAAATATTTGTAGAAGCTTCCTTTTCAATTATATTTGCTTTTAGACAACTTTCAAATTCAAAGTAAGGAAAAGAAATCATCCCACCACAAGTTGTACGATGTCTACAAAGAGCATTTATCGGTAATGAGGATCCAATAAAGCATAGATAAGGGACTGCTTTCACATGAATTGCTTGAGAATAAAATAATATTCTTGGATAATTTGTAATAATAAGCTGTTCACTTTCATACAACTCGGCGAACTTCAAAAATCTTTTTAGGTAAAATATCTGTCCAAGGTCATCGAAGCAAGAACACAGCTTCGAAAACAGCCCATAAAACCACTCTTGAATTTGTGTTTCCATTTACTGAAAAACAAATCTTATTGAAGCAAGTCAAGAAACACTTTTCTGTAGAACAGAAATGCTACAGAAAAGTAGCGGTAATGAAACACAACTAATTATTAAATACTTATGGAAGTATTTCATTTGAAGACAACAACATGCAATAATCAACAAAGTAATGTCGGTATCTACAAATGGTAAGGGATGAAGCAGACATCCCTTTACAATTGCAGTTAGACAGGTCCAACACATGTCATCCGCATCCGTTGTCTCCACCACATCCCTAAATAAATCAACAATCAGTACAGAACATATATCGTTCACCTAATTATGACAACAGCAATTCTGCTGCAATTCTCGCACAGATCTTCAAGCTGGATCCTTTGCACTGTAAGCTATATAGGATAGCAGAATTTTAACGGAAGTTAGATATGGTTAAGGGTGAGCAGGGTTGCTTCGCTCTCTTTGATTATTCGGCCTTACACGTACTAGTTATATACAAACTTTCATGAAAGGCGGACTTTTGGATCTGCTGACAGTGGTAACATAAAGTTGTTTTCTGAAGAAAAACGATAGTATATCTTCCCGGTTTGACAATATGTTTTGCAGGTGCGAATGGAAGAAAATGGAATGAAGGCAAAGCTTGAAGTAGAGTTTATCAAAAATGACAATCCAGTAGAGTCAGTGATTAAAATAACAGGGCGGATGAACTTATTTCCCTGACTTTACCAACTCAAACGCGTTCTAACAAAAAGAAGCATATCAGGTTTTACATTCTTCTTTATTTCTTGTCATAATCTACTTCATAGTTCCCATGGTTTTAGACAGTCGGATACGTTTTAAGTCTTTAAATGAGCGACTTTACCAACTCTAACTGTTCTAGTACTATATTGTCTTCAAAGATGGAACACATCATATTTTTATATTTTAGAACAGATTTCGATGAAATAAAAGTGTCATTCGACGCCGTTGAGGCACAAAGACAAGAAAGAGAGCGGCTAGAACGCTTGTCAAAAATATATGAGTCGGAAATTGGTGATTTTGTAGAAGCGCAGTACAGAGAAGGATTATGTGCTAGTGAAGATCCATATGTGAAATTGGAGCCGGTATCCAAATATCTGAAAACGTCATCTCTGCCTGATGTGAAGCCTTCAACGTCTTTTATAGATGATGATGTAATAGAACTAAGTAGTGATGACGATTCCGATGTCGACTGTCGTCCACTTGGTTTGTCTTGAAACTCTGTGACTTTGTGATAAAATTTGCATAACCATTTTTTGTTAACTCAAATCAACACACACCAATTCTGTATTATTTGATTTTTCCTACTGGTACATTATTCTGTAATTCATAAGTGATGCCGAGCGGACGTTATCGAAATCGAAGTTATCATGCTTTCTGTTCTTATGATGGGATTACAAGAAGAAAAGGAGGTAATTCCGAAACAAGGATTACCAGGAATTTTTGAATTAGTACGAATTGTTGCCAAGTTTTTTTTTATCTTTTTTAAAATACTTTGTCTTCAGGTTGAAAATTTTCAGATCTAATTCAGCCACTGCCATTACGCCGACGGTCATCGTTATACAGGGTGTGTTTTGCTGGTCGTTTTTTTTTTTTTTTTTTTCTTCAACTAAATTGATTTGCACTTTGGAAAAATTCTGCATTGAAAAAGTGCAGGTAGTACATGAAGACGTAACCGATGAGCTGTATCGTGTTGAACGTGAAAGACTATGTAAGCTACTTACGGAGGAGGAACTTGAAAGTAAGAATTTAATGGGAGGTCGATTATTTGTGAACCCTGGAAGGCGACTGGTAAAGCCGATGTTTATGTCCCCTTTCATCAATGATGTGCTTCAGCCGCATAAACTGGGAGGCATACGATTCATGTTAGTTTTTTACCTGTTTACTTGATAAAACCTTGATGAGTTTGTTGTAGAAATAGATTTCACCATGCCTTCGAAAAAGGAAAAAAAAACTGGCAGACTATGAACGGCGAATTTTGATTTAATTTCATAGTACACCCCTTGTGTGTTCTTTCATATATCTCAAAATGTGAATGACAGGTACGGCAATATCATCGAAAGTGCGAAAGAGTATGAAAAATCAGCTGGTTTTGATTGTATTTGGCGCATGCGATGGGATTGGGAAAAATGATTCAGGTTATTATATTGATCTGAAAAGCTACAGCTTTTGAGAAGAGTATAACAAATAGTCTTTTTCAGATAATTGCATTTGCGGACATTTTTGTCCGCACGACAAATGCAAAAAAGATATTGATCATTGTGCCGGTAAATACGATACAAAATTGGTATTCCGAGTTTGAAAAATGGTTGCCTAAGTTAGTTCTTTTTCCTGGAATTATTTTAAGTTTTTTTTTTTTTTGGGGGGGGGGGTGTAAGACAGTTTTATTGTATTGAAATTTATAATGATATAAAAATTAGTTTTCGGTTATGAAATGCTGAAGAAAACATCAGCGACACAGTAGCTGGTAAGGAGTAAATCTGCAAAGTAGCTATTTGGGAAGTGGAAGTGTTTAGTGTGGGGTATGAGTTTATATCATTATACACCCCCCCAAAAAAAAAAAAAAAACTTAAAATAATTTCAGGAAAAAGAATTAACTTAGGCAACCATTTTTCAAACTCGGAATACCAATTTTGTATCGTATTTACCGGCACAATGATCAATATCTTTTTTGCATTTGTCGTGCGGACAAAAATGTCCGCAAATGCAATTATCTGAAAAAGACTATTTGTTATACTCTTCTCAAAAGCTGTAGCTTTTCAGATCAATATAATAACCTGAATCATTTTTCCCAATCCCATCGCATGCGCCAAATACAATCAAAACCAGCTGATTTTTCATACTCTTTCGCACTTTCGATGATATTGCCGTACCTGTCATTCACATTTTGAGATATATGAAAGAACACACAAGGGGTGTACTATGAAATTAAATCAAAATTCGCCGTTCATAGTCTACCAGTTTTTTTTTCCTTTTTCGAAGGCATGGTGAAATCTATTTCTATAACAAACTCATCAAGGTTTTATCAAGTAAACAGGTAAAAAACTAACATGAATCGTATGCCTCCCAGTTTATGCGGCTGAAGCACATCATTGATGAAAGGGGACATAAACATCGGCTTTACCAGTCGCCTTTCCAGGGTTCACAAATAATCGACCTCCCATTAAATTCTTACTTTCAAGTTCCTCCTCCGTAAGTAGCTTTTTACATAGTCTTTCACGTTCAACACGATACAGCTCATCGGTTACGTCTTCATGTACTACCTGCACTTTTTCAATGCAGAATTTTTCCAAAGTGCAAATCAATTTAGTTGAAGAAAAAAAAAAAAAAAAACGACCAGCAAAACACACCCTGTATAACGATGACCGTCGGCGTAATGGCAGTGGCTGAATTAGATCTGAAAATTTTCAACCTGAAGACAAAGTATTTTAAAAAAGATAAAAAAAAACTTGGCAACAATTCGTACTAATTCAAAAATTCCTGGTAATCCTTGTTTCGGAATTACTGTCGCGAATTATAATTTCGCGAAAACTTCTAACCAATTTCATAGTATCATAAATCATCTCTCTTTTTAAATTGTAAACAATCCTACAGTATTCACACATGTATTTTTAATCTCTTCGTAGTAAACACTTTAAATTCTTTACACATGTGATTTTATCTTAGACACACCCAATTCTCACTCATAAAAATTCAATTCTAATAAACAAAACTATAAATTATCATCATTGTCGACTACGCTCGTTTAACCAAGATCAACTCTTCCAATCTTCTTTATTATAAATTTCTTCTCTTCTTTTACTGCTCTGTTTATTAATACTAAGTTTGCGAAAAATAAAGACTTATTAATTTAATCCTTCTACTGTATTGCAAACGATTCCAATATCAACCAACAGACAACCTTTCACGACAAAATTTTTTGGTGCCACGAGCCGGGAATATGTCAAGCCACATCATCGCAAGCTTTCAACCGGCAAAGGAAAGGTTAGTCAGTCTTCTTAAAGAAGTAAATCAACTGGAGATCAAATCTCCAGATCCAAGTATGACAATAGAAGAAAAAGAAGATTTTTATGTGATAAGAAAAAGAGTGTTAGAAGATAAACTTCGAAGAATCCAATTATGCGTAACTACGCTTGAATCTATCAACGATAAATGGTTCACATATACTCAACAAATCGTCACGATGAAAAGAAGAGAAGAAGAGGAAGAAAAATACAAAACAGTAACAGAAGGTGACCAAGGAATATTTCAATTATTACACGAAGGAAAGGAAGCTGTAATAACACTGGCAATGCACAAGGATGAAGTCGACCAAAACTTAAAACAACTCTCAAAGGAGTTGACGAACAAACAAGCAAAAGAAGAAGCAAAATTTACTCCTTCTTCAAATATTAATGTAAATCTTCCTCATTTATCGCTCCCTACTTTCGATGGAGACCCTAGACAATGGCGACAATTTTGGAGCAGTTTTAACGCAGCAGTCCACACACAAGCGATTCCAGAAATACAAAAATTGAATTACTTGTACTCATGTCTTAAAGGAAAGGCTCTACAAGCAATATCTGGATATGATATAGCTCCAGAGAATTATGAAGTCATCAGAAAACTGCTCAATGAAAAATATGGCGATCACTCAATAGTAACAACATTACTCTACAACGAACTCCAATCAATTAAACGAAATGAAAGAGAATGGATTGGAACAATTGAAAATATAGAACGAGTACTGCGCCAGTTAGAAGCTCTAGGAGAAAGCCTTGAGCATTCAAATATTGAAATCTTGATCGAGAGCAAGTTGCCATTATGGATATTAAATAAAATATATAAACACAAGAAGAAGGACATGCCTTGTTCAATTCTCAAACTACGAAACTTTTTAACAAGTTTAGTTAATGTGAATGAACAGATTAGAAACTGTCAACATTCACTCACTCAACTCAATATTAAATCTACAACTACCAAACCGGAACAAAAACAACGATACAATCCCGGAGGAACTTCAGCATTGTCGACAATAAAAGATAATCAAAATACTTCGAAAATTACAACAACGAAAAGACGACCATGTGTATTTTGCAATCAAGATCATTGGGACAGCGATTGCATGAACTACACAACTCTCAATGCTCGGCTTAGTCGTCTCAAAGTGTTGAAGAAATGTACTATTTGTCTTAGAGACAGTCACAAAGGACAGAATTGTAATGTCAAAAAACAATGTTTTTATTGCAAAAGCTCACATAATAGTGCTTTATGTAATAAAAGGAATTCACTTTCTTTAAACAATACAATGTCTCAAAGAAATGAAGAGCATGAAAGAATTGGACCTTCGAAACGAAAGGATTGTTCAACTTCTCTCTATAATTCCACATTAACAACTCAATCCAAACAGACAAAGGAAACCTTACTTTTATGTAAGGAGATAAAGGTTTTTAATCCATCACAACCTCAACTACAACAAAATACCCTTGCATTATTTGATATTGGATCGCAACTCTCCTTCATCTCCAAAAAATTATCACGTCAATTAAAGTTAACCGAAACAGAAACTCAAATTATGAGAATAGCTCCATTTGGTATGAAAGAACCGAAATCATGTCCCACTGCTCGCATACAACTAAATGTGCTAACTACCGAAAGCGAAATCATACAACTACAAGCAAATATAATTGATTATCTAACAAACGAACTGCAGGTAGTGGAGACATCGAATGAATTTCAAATTCAAAATTTGACAAATTATTGGAAAAAACCTGACGTATTGATTGGAGCTGACTATTTTTTCAAATTTATTAACCTACGAGAAATTAGGAATTGAAATCAGGACATATGTTGGTTCAATCAAAAGTTGGTCCAATGATTGCTGGAAGTGGAGATATTAAGAAACTTTGCAAGAACGAATTATATCCTAAAGAAGTAGTATATTCTACAAACGTCAATATTAGCACGGAGCTAGAAAAATTTTGGAAATTAGAGACGATTGGTATCCAAGAATCACCTCAAGATGATGATGATGATCAAGCTTTAAAGCATTTCAAACGGACCATCATCAAGCAGGGTGGAAGATATCAGGTTTGTTGGCCATGGAAAGACTCCAAACAAAAATTAAGCAATAATTATGGATTATGTCTGGGACGATTGAAGAATTTGATCAACCGCCTACAACATAATTCAAATCTCCATTCATATCATCAAATACTTATGGATCAACTACACTCAGGTATAATTGAAGAAGTACCTCCAAAGGATGAGGTAGGCGTTATTCATTACTTACCACATCATGAAGTATTAACTCCCAGTAAATCAACAACTAAATTAAGAATAGTATATGATGCTTCAGCACATCACAAAGGTTTTAAAAGCTTAAATGAAGTACTATATCGAGGTCCAGTAATGTTACCGGATTTAGTTGGAGTAATATTACGTTTTCGGATGATGAAAATAGTAATAACCGCTGATATCGAAAAGGCATTTTTACAACTAGAACTACAAAATGAGGAAAGAAATTGTACACGTTTTCTTTGGTTGGATGATATTGATAAAGAACTAACCAATGAAAATATAAAATGTTACCGATTTAAGAGAGTTCCTTTTGGAATAATATCCTCACCTTTCTTGTTAGCAGCAACATTAAATTACCACCTAGAAAATCATGGTAGTGAATTGGCATGGGAGATAAGAAAGAACTTATATGTAGACAACGTTATTATATCAGCAAATGGAACAGAAGAGGCCTTATATAAATATGAAAGAACGAAAGAAATTTTTGCTGAAGCATCGATGAACATAAGAGAATTTCTTTCAAATGACGAAGAATTTAATGAAAGAATAGCTGAATGCGACCTAAGCCAAACAAATCAGGAAAATTTTCTTGGTCTTAAATGGAACCATGAACGAGATATTATCCGTGTGACACTGAAACCATGGATAGGAAAAAGTTTAACAAAGAGGACTATCCTACAATTCATAGCCTCCCAATACGATCCATTGGGTCTTCTCGTTCCTATAATGATCAAACTTAAATTATTCATACAACACTTATGGAAAGAAAACATTCCATGGGATCAATCTTTAAACAAACAGGACGAACAACAGTGGATAAATCTCATCAAAGAATGGCCAACAAATATAATAGA